GGATCGGGGAGCGTTTGGGCAGCCTGACAGACAGCAGCGAGCGAAGCTGGACCGCTGCTTACATCTGCGTTAAACAAAAGAGAAGGACAATTACTGATGTCACATTTAAAGTGCCAAAACACACCAAGAAGTCAAACAGGAAAAAAAAAAGGCCAAATCGCAGAGTTACAGCAATCCTCACCTGACCTTTCAACTAATTTACTGCTTTCCAAAATAGTCCTGCTAATTCAAACAGAAAACTTCTGCTGGTCGGTGCCGTTTTCGTCAGCCTCATGTCTTCCACTAGAGTCCAGAACAGCGACGGCTTGATGAAAAGATCCTGATGAAAACTCTGGGATAATAAAAGAGTTGGTGGGGAGTCGTTCCACTGAGGGAAACCTGGCCGAGGCTCTGGTTCACTCATCCATCTGCTGTGAACCAGAACCGCCTGTCGGCTTCACCGTCCCTCTGCTTTCTCAGCTCAGCCACATAGGAAGAAGCGAGGGCCCAGACGGTTCAAAGGTCACACAGAGCCTGCTGAAACGCAAACTGAGCAGCATCGCAACGCACTTGAAAGAAGCTGACAGTAAATCACTCTAAAGGAAAACTCGAGTCTTTTAAGAAACGGCCTAATGAGGCCAATCAGTGGACTTTAAAAAAAAATAATAATAATTTTAAACAACAGTCGTAGCTTTCAAGTTTCATCCAATCAAAGTCCTGGTCTGGAAGATTTCCCAGTTTCCTCAGTTCTGAAGGTCAGGTAAAGAACTGAAAGCTCTCTGTGTCAATGTGCCGTCAGCCGGATACTTTCCGACTTCCACAGAAAAACCTGGAGGCCATTTGTAATTTTGACAGATCACAATTCATACTGGAACCAGCTGGTCTAGGGTGATGAAATTTAGATTTTATGCACAAAGGTAACTACATCAATCAATTAAAGAAAGAAAGAAAAAAAAACAAAGATTTTCATCAGAGCATCAAATCTGGAAACCGTACTGAACGTATGTCACCATCTTAGAGCTGACAAACCGCTGAAGAGTTTTGAGTGAGAAATACAGAAATCAAAGACCGTCTCGCTGCTCAGGAACCTCGTGGAAACAGAACCTTTTCCTCCTATGTTCACCAGAATTTAACCAAGTAGTGATTAAGTGTGGGTACCACGGTTTGTGTGGTGGCCAGGGTTCACACAGAGCCAGGGGTTCTGTGTGAATGATTTTAGACCACCATCAAGATCACGAGTGTGGGTAAAGTCTAGAGACTGGTGGATGCATTGCAGTGAGTGAGCCAGGCCTGAGGAAACATGGCTTGACGAAGTTTCCCCCGATCCTGTGTCCCTGCTGGGATGGCAGAAAAACTTACTTGATTGAGAACAGAAGCTGCGTTCAGGCCTCAGCTAGCAGAGAGTGTGGCCCTTTGTTTGCAGCAGTTCTGAGAGAACACACATTTATGGTGGGAGAATAACAAGCTAACCATACTGCTGTTGTGCAACAGCTTTTTTCTTTTTTTGTTTCTTTTTTTATTAGAAAATGTTCCTTGGAGGGGATGGAAAAACCACTTCTAATATTTAGAGCTTTTACTATTTATTAGTTTGTTTAGTGAACGTTGCAACAGAGCCCTGGGCCTTTGTGGGATTTCTGAGCAACTTTAGGTTCATTTTAATACATCTGAAATTATCCCAACAAAAAAACAAAACAAAAAAAACAGAAAAAAAAGAAAAAGGAGGACTGTGTGGTAGTAAAAAAACAATAAGGTCTGGACATCTGGAAACTCTCCTCACAGTAGCCATGTGAACCACAGACTGGAGTCTGGAGATGGGTGAAGGTTGGGCCAATGGTGAGACACTTTCCATGGTCCTCCAGGATAGACGAACTGCCATCAGGGTTGTCCCTATGCGTTTCCCTCCACTTGACAATTATTTCAAGTGTTTTATCCATGGGCATGGAAGGTCAGAGTTGGAGATAATAGCTGCTCCTGCCAAAGAGAACCTTTAATTCTGGGACTGAATGATGTCCCAGTGTGATTAATGTCCCAAAGAACGCAGACACTTCTCTTCTCAGAGGGCTTGTGGCAAAACTAATACTATGAACTGTGGCTTCAGGAAAACCAGCCTGAGGGCCGAGTTCCTTGAAATGTTCTGCTGCTTCCTCCCAGCCTGTCCTCAGAGCTGCACATGTCTCAGCTTCATGGACATGCAGGACAGACATGCCTCCTAAATACTATTCTGTGAACTATATGCTGAGTTATTGTTTTATTATAAACTAGTTTCTAACAACTGGTATTAAGAGATTGCGATAACGGGCAAAGAGTCTTTATGATCAGCAGTGAGGAATTTTGGCCGACTCTTCTGTGCAGAAACGACGTCTTAACCGTCATGAGGACAGCGACGTCGTCGTGGAACCATTGTCTGTCACACAAGCATTTTGGGAGTGATGTTAATTCAACCACATTCAAGAGCGGTTGAATGTCAACGGCACATTTCAGGTCACATTAGAGCAGCTGAATGATGGTTTATGTCTGACTCTCCTTCAGCTGATTTATTACGGTGCAGTTACAAACTGTTTCTTGTTTCTTCCATTTGGTTTTTATTTCTTTTGTTGTACATTTCCAACTTCCACATCACAGTGTTGACAGTTTTCTGACCTGATCTTCAGACGTCTTCCTCAGTCTGTGTGTTTTCAGTTTTACAATCTCCTCATCCTGCAGCTACTTCCTCCAAACTCCAGCTGACTGGAAACAACCAACATGTTCTTGGTGCAAATCCTTCCTGAAGTCGTGATTTAAAATCCTTTGAGCTGACAGATGTCTCGTGGGGATCATCAGTCTTTCTTCTTCACTGAGTGATTCCATCATTTCTTTCTGCTGTTGTTCATCTGATTGGTTGTTTTGTCCATAATTCATCCTGATGGGAAAAAGAAGCTGAGCTATTGGACCACATTAAGTTTGACAGTGTGATGTCATATGTAGCTATTTCAACCTCGGGGTGTTTAGCAGACATTGGACAATCTGATGGATCAGAACCGAGAACATCAGAACAGAACCAGCTTCTCCAGAGCTGGTTCTGTTAACTGCTTTGTTTCCAGGTAAACGCAACATTTTAGCTCCACATGGTGGAGTCACTTTGTTCAGAGTTGAAAAACCTTTAGGACTTTTTTCTGACAACACTTCAAGTGGCAGTAACCATTCTGTGATTTTTCCCTCTGAGTTTCTGTCTTCACCAGTTGGTGTTGTTTCATGTGAAGCTCCATCTTCACATGAAACCAGCGATCTGAGCCACTCTTCCCTCATCGTGCTCTTCCAGTGACCCCTGCACGCAGCTGCTGCTGCTTAGACTTCAAAGAGCGATGAAGAGTTCCAGCCACATATTTTCTATGTTTTACTAATTTTCTGTTCTTGCATGCAGCAGATATTGATAAAAATCCCTTTAGACTTTGTGGCAGCGACTGAGGTGAAGAGCCCGGCTTCTCAGAGCTTAGTGGGTCCAGGACAGCAGAAGAGGAGGATCAGAGGACGATTGATGATTGAAGCCAACAGTTTGCTATGGAGGGCCTGCGGAGCCCGACCCAGACTGTTTCTAATAAACAGAACCAGATCAGCAGCAATGATAACCACTCACACAGCCCAAGAAATATAATGTCTGCAAGCTGGAAGAACAGAAAGAGATGGGATTAGTGAGGGAATCTGCAACAGGAACAAAAAGAACAAGTTTAGAAAAAAACTTGAGCAGATTTTCTGTTTTCTAATTCACTGGAATTTTTTGTTGCTGCTGCTGACTGAAAGCAGTAGAAGTGGAACACAGATGATTCCTGCCGGCAAAAAGGAGTTTAAATTTTACTGACTGAAAAAATGAGCTGCTTTATGAAATAGATTTGACCATTCCTAATAAACGCTCAAACTAAAAATGGAATCAGTGGGAGGAAGTTGTCCAAGTACAACACACTGCAAATATTTCTTCCCCTCTGATGCTAACAAAATGACACTGATGACCTATTGAATGCTATTTAGAGACTGTTTCTGCAGACTCACTGTGTTCAACAGAACCAAAGTGTTTTCTTGCATTTATCTAAACGCTGCATTGCAGCTTTGGGTCTGTTCATATAAGAACACGTGGATATAAACTACAGCAGCAGACTGAGCTCCCAGAAGCAGATGTGGCTGTTTAGATATTGTAGTCTCCTCCGAATCGCTTAGCAAAAACAGAGACGGGGTCTCCAAAGAGTTTCACTTTTAAAACTCGTTTGGAAAACAAAGAATCAAAAATAATCTTTTATTTTGATCATCATAGATTCCAGACTGTAGGAGAGCAAGAGAAGGGTTTGTTTGGATGAAATTGTCATGATGTCATTGATGGAAACAAGAAGCTCAAGATGAAAGTTTCCAGGTAAACAAAAGCAAGAGGACAAATAAAAGCACTCTCATCATCACAGGCTGATTATCTGATTGGAGCAGATCTGAAACACTTGGAGCTTTTGCAACATTTTTCATTTATCAAAGAAACATTTAAAGGGGTAGTATTATGTATTTCCCAGGCACATGGTCCCATTTTGTAGTACACTCATGTTTCCATGTTAACTTCAGTTGTTATATATATATATATACACACACATACATAAGGGGAGTCGGAAGTAGCTGGTATAGTAAGTTCAGTAGATAAATAGTTCTATAAGGTGCTTGCTAATTGCTGCTGGCTAGTCTGAAGGAGCTGAAGGGGACTCACAGAGAGGGGTGCTGTTAAGCAGAAACTGGTAAGTTTGGAAACTGCAGCTCTGAGAAGGAGTTGTGCCTCGAAGGCGGGGCGAGGTCCAGTCAGATGATCCGCACAGCTGGTTGGTTGCCACGGGAGATTAAAGGATTTCTCAAATATGGATGAAAGAATCAAGGCAACACTTTGAGGAGGAAATAACATAACATGAAGCTCAGAAAAGTCAATTTTACATTATATTTCCCCTTCAAAACAGTCTGCAGTTAGCTTTCTAAAGTAATGTTGATTTTGCTCAGATGAACTTGACAAGACTCCACAGAAGTCTTCCAGAAAGTCATATACTTTATTCGCTTTTTTATCTGCATCACTTCCATTGTTGATTCCCGACATTTGGGCAATCTGGACTCATCAGGTCCTGCTCCCCACCCTCATACCCTCTGGTGGATTTTCAGGGCTTCAGCTGAGGTCAGCGCTTCTCATTTCAATAAACAGCCCTCTGATTGGCCAGCACCAGCAGACGGATGTTGCGCACACATCCAGCAGCAAACTCCTGGATCTCGTCGGTACCAGTAGCTATGAGCTGGAGCAGTGGCTGTGGGAGTGAAAAAAAGGACAGAAATTACTGGAAGGAGAAACACAGTGGACAAAGCCAACTTTGAAAAGAAATCAACCGTACGCAAATGTGTTTGAGAACATTTAGTGTCATCTTCTCACTGCTGCCACCGACCAGAAACGGCAGAACATCCACTCTTCGATGCATGCCTCACCAGAGGGCTTGCAGCTGCCTGCACACACACCTCTGCAGCTGGACGTTAAAACCCTGCGTGCGAACCACAGAAGTCGACAGCTTTTCTGCCGCTCCACAGGTCAAACTCTATCCCACTGTTAGTGGCTTGTGTAATGGATCTGGTTAGTTTTCATTGCGGAACAGCAGCTTTGGGCTTTACAGAAATCACCAGCTTTGGAAGTTTATTTTTGATTAAATACAACTCGCTTCAACGAGCTGCTAATGATGTGGAGGAAGCAGAAAAAACCCAAACTAAATGAAACACCACTGAGCAGCAGGTGTTTTTGGCCTCAGCTGTTCTTCCCGTTTCTTCTCTGAAATTCCTGCATCAAGTCTGCAGCCAGCAGTCGTGGAACCTAAACCAAAGTATATCTGTGCATAAACATGCTAAATCTGGTCAGTGTGAGCTGTGTGGTCTAATCACAATTTGATTATTGTGGATAGTCAAACATTACAACCCTGAGGTGAGCCCTGAGGCCTTCCTCCTCCTAAACACAACAAGACCCTGATAAAAACCCAGCTGAGACGTCTGAGGCTCTTTCAGGCTCCAGATATTGAGAATTTGTTCTCCAAGAAAGGAAACAAGATTGTGGGAAAGACTTCTGAGGTTCAACGTTTCTCCTGGTTTCAGTCAACACTAGCTGTGTTTCCTTTAAAAATGTGCACAAAACTTAATTTGCTGATGTTGAAACAAATAAATTTTGCAATTCCTGTGTTTTCGCTAAATGAGAAATGCAATCAAAAAATACACATTAATTGTTAACACAGCACCCCGCAATCCCAAAGAGTGGGGTGGGCCCACTAAGGGGGTCGCAGTACTGCTGGGAAGCAGCATGGATGAATGAAAAAAAACAAAGAAAAAGAAGCAGATCCACAAAAGTGTTTCATTGTCAAGATGGTTTGTAGTTTGTTTTGTTGCAACCAGAAGTGTGAAATAAACTTCAGTGGAGTTAGAAAACAAAATATGTTTATGTCTGGTTGAGCCAGTGTGCACAGATAATTTTTTTTTTCTTTTTTGCAGGAGATTTTATTGTAATCCATATGGGGGCCCAGAAAATCTTTGGGAGCCACACAGTGAGGAAAACATGATGCATCATGATTTTATTTATTTGGCAAATCATGATATTCCAACTACTTCTTGTCGTTTTTGTGGTTTGTGCCAGCGGCAACATCTGGTTGTTGATCATGTGACTCATGATGTGAAAAATGTGTTTCTAATGCAGTTTAATAAAAATCAATCTGTTTTTATGTGACCAAAGAAAAACCCACTTCCTTTTAATAGCAAAACGTTTTAGCAAATGATACTTTCAAAATGTAAGAAAAATTATTTTCAAAATGTCAAACTGAGCAATTATGTGGTCAATGGAAATGCAGCTACCGTCACATCCCTGTTCCTCAAGAGCAATGCAAGACAATAGACAGGACCAAACATAAACTCGAGATGAGAATTATTTATGACACATTTAGCAGGATTATTATTCCATTCATCAGAACTCCAGCAGCACATTTCCCTCCAGCAGCTCCAGAAAACATGCAGCTCCCTAAACAAGGCTCTTTAGTGAAAAACAGGATGCCTGAGAAGTGCCAGGGTTGCTTTATTTGCCAGCCTCATGGCGTTTTTCAGACGGGGCCAAATAAGGTCTCCTGAAGAGCTAAGCTAAGATAAGCACGTCTCTCTTTGCAGCCTTTCTTCCAGCTCCATCTCTCCCTCCCATCTGGGATCTCTGGGAATATAATCCAATCCTTATTAGACATTCCCTGACTGAAGGAACATCATCACTTACTCAGCGTTTGAAAACTGCAGCCGAGTTCTCAAGATGTTTCCAGTGAGTCCAGGGAGCTCCCCTGTCCAGCTTTCCCATGTTTTACACTCAACTGTGGAGGCAAACAGGACAGACAGACAGACGGCTGTGTTCAGCCAATATGAGGGGAACTTGGTGCAGAAATTCAGGTAAACAACATTCCCTGCAGCCTCCAGTCAGCCACAGATGCTGAGCTGCTTTTTCTGGGACTCCAAAGAGGAAAAGGAGGGAAAGTTTCAGGTTGAACCCAGAGTCTGTTAGAGCTGAACAACAAGAGGGACAGAAGCTTCAGTCAAAGGCTCTGAGACATTCCCCTGCTTGGATTTAAATTATGGTGGTCCTAGTAAAGCTGTAGCCACAGCTCCTGTATCATCAGCTCAGCACAGCCACAAGCTGAAAATAGCTTTTCTACTAACTGAAAGGAAACTAACTGAAAGGAAACTTGTGAGGCTGAATCTCCAGGTACTCCTGGGTCCTCTTTTGGCTCATTTTATCAAAGCTCCAGAAGAATTAAACATGAGAGAAGAATCAGATGAAAACACACCGTGCCAGGGTGAGAGGTGAACTCAGAGCAACTAAAGAGCAAACGTTTTTCTCATTTAGATTAGTAAAATCCTAAAATACACACCAGGACCTGGCAAAAGCTGCATTTTGGAAAACATTCAGCAGCAAATGACCAATAATTACGGTTTGCATTTAGTAATTTTCAGCAATTTCCTTCACAAAGCTTTGCTTATGAAAGAGGCTGTTTAACACAAGCAGTTGTCTGAATCCGTCTGAATGGATGTATGGCTTCAGCAAACAATTCCCAGGACTTTGGAGGCAACATGCAGGCCAGGAGGAAGGCAGCTTGATTTGATACACAACACAAAATGAGGCTCATCCAGAGGAAAGTGGGAGATTCTGAGAGCGCGGACATTAGATCAATCCAAGAGGCCAGTTTCTCTCTCAGGTGTTTTGGTTGGAGTGCATTTCCCCTGTGAAAAGCAGCCCCATCATTTCTGGTTGTTTTCATTATTTATCCAACAGGAGAAGAAAAAAGCTGTGGAGACGGACAAGCTCCCACTCAGAGTGTTTCCTCTGGACAGGTTAGTATCAGCATCCCTGTTCAGAAGAGCTGAGATGAACTTCAATCTGACCAATGAGGCGATCTGTGTTGTGTTTCCATGTCTGACATTCAGATAAACTGCTGCAGCTACAGGGTCTTTGGTGATTAAGCTCTTTAAAGTCCAAAAATACCTCCTGGTGAATTGTTACAACTCTGAGCTGCAACATTAATAACAAGCACACACACACACACACACACACACACACACACACACACACACACACACACACACACACACACACACACCAACACACACACACACACACACACACACACACACACACACTAAAATCAGGAGTGTTTCACACACCAACATGGACACATAAAGGAACGGTCCAGTTTTTGTTGCGGCTCAAACTCTAAGCACATTTGATTTCAGCAGCTTTTGTAAACTGGGTTGAAATCTTTGAGAACAGCTGAGGTCCAGTTCAGCTGACCCATCATGGCTGCTGCTTCTGAGTTCAAGTAAACCAGTTCAATGAACATGGGAACATCTGGCTTCAGCTGCAGAACCAGAGCCCAGTTTAGAGTCCAGTTGGTTCTGGGAGGCCGTTTCACACACTTGTGGTCACAGATGGATTTTTATGTGGTAGTTTTTCTGTAAAACCTCATTTAATGAAAGGATCAGAAAGCAAGGTTTTACCAACATGCTGAAACATGAACATTTGATCCTTCATGACAAGTCTTCCATCTATTTTACTGTGAGACACAAATAGAGTGTGCTGAGTTGAGCAGGAAAGTACAGAACTAGCTCCTTGTTGGAAGACATGATGGCCCCAATGAAAAGTCTGGTGGATGTAACTAACTGTGAGGAAAATAAACAGCACCATGGATGGGTTTCAGCCATTTCTCCATCAGTCCTGGGTCTGAAACATATTGCTGCTGCATTCTGCCCTGAGGTAGAGCAACAGCCCTTAGCAACAGTTGCCCCCAGCTACAGCCCTTTGCCTTGTGCTGCAATGGCATCTAGGGTCCAGTGTCGGGTTGGCACTTTGCACACACTGAGCTGTTTGCTTTTCTCAATTCCCATGATGGCTGGAAAGTGGAGGCTTGTTTCCACCGACTGTTTCTGCTCCATCGGTCAAAGGCTCTGAAAATAGTCTCAGCCTCTCAAAGTTTATTACTCTGTGTTTTTCACACATCACTGAAACAAGGGCGGCAGGAGACCAAAGCACAAATTCCTCAATGCAGCTATGCATTGTGAAACAAACTTGAAACTGGAAATGAGCAACGAATTAGGACTTAATGAAGACGAAGGTATCCAGTCTAAGAGAAAGCCCAACTGACCTCGACGACTCCTTCCTCATGCATGGTGATGATGTTGTTGGGGTCCTTGGACAGTTGGTAAAGGGCCATGGTTGAGTTAAGGAGGAGTAAAGTGTCGTTGGACTCCAGGTAATGAACCAGGGGCCCAACGGCTCCATGTTCACCAAAGCATGCCCTGTTGGAGCCCCACATGCAGCAGTGGCCGATGGCATCGGCCAGGTGGCAGCGAAGTCTGACATCAGTCTGCAGAGAGGAGAACAGGAAGAAATTCTTGACCAACAACTGATATCTGAAGAACCTGCAAGCAAAACACCAACTAAACTTCACCCTGACTGTAAACTGACAGAATCTATTCAGAGAGTAAAAGCTGGTTTGTTGTCAGTAGTGACATGTTCTTACTGTCTTAGACAGTTTGGCCAGTAGGGGGACAACCCCGCGATCAGAAAGGACGCCCAGGATCTCCTTGTCTTTGGCGAGTTTGGCGATGACAGCACAAATGCTCGTCAACACCTCGTTGCTTGGTGACTTCAGTAACTGAATGATCAGCTTCAGTCCACCAATCAGGAAGAGAACCATTTCCCCGGCGTCCTGCAGACACAGAGACACATTAGCTGCTGCTCAGTGAAGGTCAACGCAGAAGACGATGCAAAGGAGGGACAGTGATGTGGAAAAGGAGAGGAGGGCAGGTTAAGTTGACCACATTTAATAAGTCTGGATGAAGAACTGGAATCAGTATAAAACTATCCTGCAATTTCTTTAGTTTGTTGACCTTTCCTCTCCTACTATGAATAAAGTTGTAATACGACAACTTTATTCTCTTAAGGTGTTTAAGGTTATTTTTAGTGGTTGAAACCTACTTGCTGTATTTGGTCTCCAATTAGCTAGCAAATGTTTTAAAGTGTTAAATCAACCAAAGCGCTTTCCTATAAAAAAAAAAAACATGCGGTTTACGTGACGTAATTGGAGTAGAATGGACCCTAACAACTGCAGTCTAATAGTTGAACTCAAAGAGGCTTTTTTTGCTCAGGTCTGGTTGAAACATGTTTATGTGCGGCTGTTCAGACTGCAATTGCTCTGGAAATGGCAACAACAGAAAAAGGAAAGACAACAACGAAGCCAGAGACCCAGCTTTGACCTAGAGGAGGGTCGGTGGACCAAGTTATTCAATTTTCCACTATCTATTAGCCAAACTGTATGCATGTTTATTATTTATCTATCTTATCTTGGTAGATATATTTCCATGAAAAGATCTAAAGATCTGTAAATGTAAAGATATAGTTGCAAAATTCTCTTAGTTAGCACTGCAGTTAGCATTCCCAGGTCTGTGTACATGTTTTCCATTCCAAAATCTGTTCTTCTACTATTTAAAGTGATCTCTGATTGCTATGTTGTCAATAGTCCTGACTTCTGGTTCACCTGTGAGCCTTCAATCTTAAACATACAGCGAATGTCATGCTTGTAATTGGTCACCTCCTTCGGTCTTATTCAATGCTTTTAGCTGCACCATCCAGAACGCTCTCCTCTGTCTACGTCACTAACGGTTGTCACTAGGGGGCGCTATTTTGAGGCGGAGCAGGAAGCAGATTAGGCAGAGGAGGTACTAATACCTTATATTTTGAAATATGGGCAACTTTTGCCACATAAGTTTAAATTTCAGACGTGTGACAATACAATGTGAAAGTGAAAAGATGTTCTTTAATGTTGTGACTATTTTCAAATGGCCTATTTTGTATTTGTATTTTATTTTTCCTTAGAATGGCTCTCATACTCTATCGTATCAGCATTGGGTCACTTTTTAAAAACCCAATGTACCATATCATTGCCATAGAACAAAACATTAATGTGGCTCAGTATGTAATATTCAGACCTTTGAAAACGCAGCTGAAATTTCTTTCAATGCAATAATTATGGGCAACTGGATGAAGATCACAAAGTCTGCTGCAGCGCAGTCTGTTTCAATATCATCCACTTGTCAGGAGTTGATACATGGTTCTGTGCTGCTGACAAGAAAAATCAATTGATTTTCTTAATTTTTCTGGTTAAATCAAGAACTGGATGTACATTAGTGTTCTCCCCTCCACCAGGGAGAGCTGGGATCAGGAGTCAGTGCAGTGTATGGGCCCTGTGATGCCATGCCAGAGGATGAGGCGTGTGCACAGTGCAGGCCAGTGAGGGAGCTGCTAGGGCCAAAGACCCCCCGACACACAGGAAGCTTTTCCTCAGGAATACTGATGATGGCTGGCTGGGAGTCCCTGACAGAGGAAGCTCTCTCAAGCCACCAGCTGCCACAGACTACCCAGAATCCCTTCCATGCCCCCGAGGGGCCCCCAGTTCTTAAGGCTGCTGCATTAAGAGGATGCACTTAGAAAGACATTTGTTGCCAACCTCCCTCTCACGATCAAATAAAATAGAAAACACATTATCTGTTGTGTTTGATATGAAGCTGAGCTCAGAAGAACGCTCTGAGGCTCTTCTCTGGACCAATCAGACTTCTAGGACTTACACTGCTCACATGCAGTGTAAGTCCTAGAACCTCATCATGTGGAACTGAGAGGGGTCTGTTTATTTGATTGGAAGGACCTGCTGCTCTGTAGTTTGGCTCATTTTACTGAATAAAATCAGTTCCAGTAAATAACCTACAGACAGTTAGCGTAGCTCCTGTAGATATATGTGTCTGCAGAGCAGCAACATCACTGCATGAAGTATTAGAACTATGCAATCATACCACTGTTCTGTCATAAATTTACAACCAATCTGCTAACTCAAACATTTTGGGTTTTCATCTAAACAAAGACGGCAGTAAAGCAGTTGGATCGGGTTCAGCTCATCACTGCCTCGTCCCATAAAACACCAAGAAACTGTCTTTATGTAGCTCCCTCAATCCAGGAATGCAGATCTCCAAATAACACCTGTTGTTGAGAAGAGAAGGGTAAAACCACAACCTTGCTAATATGTTTATGACTGATTGAGCGGGTCGGATCGGTCTGTTCTGATTGAATGTCTTAAAATTTTGCACAATTTCACTTCTAATGTAACAAAACAGCTCCATATAAACTGAGCTAATGTCTGACAAATGATGTTCCAGCAGATGGTCTGGAGTTTATATTGTAGTCACAGATATATTATATCATGCAGTGTTAATGTCAGTTATAGTGATGTCTAAATGCAGGTAAGATCTTCTGTTTTCATGACAGAAAATCGACCAACAAAAGATCTTAATGTTGAAGTAAACATAGCAGCTAACATGATATAAACAGTATTTATGGTCATGTAGTTTGTTCCAGTTTCATAGTGATTTTATTGGAGAAGTGGCTTCACAGAAGCTGCATGGGCCACCATGCAGGAAGGAAATCAGAGCCACAGGATATTACAGTCTTTCTCTCAGTCTGTTCCTCACTTCATCAATCCCAGTGAGCCAAGGAAGCTCCTCTGCTTCATATTAGCCCAGGGTTTATGTAAGCCCCTGCTGACACAGCTCTGCCTCTGCTGACGTCCCAGCAGAAGCAGCAGCTTGAGAGACAAGCTGGGTGACAGAAACAAGCTTCTGCCTTCTGACTGAGACAACCTTTTAATGAGAAATCTATGACTGATAAATGTCTGGACCAGACGTGTTTAAGAGGCAAACGCTCTGCATAGATGAGAAACAATGATGGACTTCATTTCTCCCAGATCTACAAAAATGTATCTTTACTGTACCTTTGCATTCTCGATGCACGGACAAATGGCCCATGCAGCACTAGCCTGAACTTCTGCATTAGGGTTCTTTAGCAGTGACCACACCAGGCGGACTCCATCAAGATGGTCAATGGTTCTGAGGGAAACACACAGAATCATTTCATTGTAGAATCAAATCAAAGTGAAGATTTGGCTCCATCAGGCCGACCTGAAGCAGATTTAACAATGACTAAAACTAAACAGCATGGAAGCAGAAGCTGATTTCAGCACTTTTTATTCCCACTTAGATCTTTTGCAGGGTCTCTGTCCCACCCACTCTCAACTCACTTTCCACAAAAATGTCAGAAAAGCTCAGGTCAGAGGTCAACCTGCACTCATCTGGATCTGGTTCTTCCTGCATGGATTTGTAAATAGATGCTGAGTCAAACTTTGACTTTATGTTTTGCCAAAACTATGTGTTTTGGCAAACATGGGAAAGGAGTTCTGTTTGACTCCTTTCCAAGACAAACAGAACCAGAGACAGGTGGCTCCGTATTTCAGAAAGTGTCAGTGAATTTTTCTGAAGCAGCAGTTTGATTTCATCTCATGGTTTCAAACTGGAGTTGCCTCTGAAAGGTCAAAGATTTACACCACAGACCCTCCATTGTCTGCTATAAAAACATGAAACGTGTTCCCCATGTGTGCTTCAACTAACAAAGCCCACACTGATGCTGTCATAATGACCTAAACACTCCCTAATCACAATGTCTTCATGACTGCAATGAGCGGACGCTCGTCAGGGACATCCTCTGCTCCATCTGTCTTCTTTCTGCACAGAAATCAGTCCAGAGGGATCAGAACATCAGGCTCCAGTCTGCAGGCCTTTCAGTCCACGACCAAAATCTAAAATGAAGTTTCATATCATCCTCCAAAACGTTCCATCTTCCCATGGTGCAGCTAGGAAACAGATTACAATGAAGCTGCAGTTGACAGTGACGGATTAGAGGGGAGACCACAGACCTGGAAGACATTAAAAATCCGTCTTCACGCTTGTTCTTCCACTGGACTCACTGGAGGAAGTGTGATGTCATTGACCACACACTGCCTACTGGTGGAGAATGAAAACAAACAGGAGGTTCTGATGGAAAACCGGGAAGTGATCATGGAGCTCTCATGAGCTTTGAATGATGAGAGAAGAACTGTGGTGACCAGCAGAAGGTCTGATCTGAGAACTGAAACCTTATTGGTCAAACGATGTCCAGCAGGGACAAACATGTTGCAGCTGATTGGGTTTTAGCACACATCATCTAAAACTGGTAATCTGACAAACATTTCTGTCAGTTCTGGTTTGAAATAAGTATCTACTGTGAGTTATGCTAATTGCTCTGCAAACAACTCATCATGTGTGGAAACAAGCCATCGGGCCAAACATCCACACAAAGGTTGTTTGAATAAGAGCTCTGTTGACAGATGGAGGATGACAGACTGGATGATCTGCTGCAAAAATGTAGAGTGAGAGAACATGGAGAACATGATGATCTGATGTAATAGATGTCTCTGGATGTGTAAAGTTTACCACAGTCAGCAGCTAACTAACACCATAAACTCACAGGTTCAGTGATATTTCTGCCCAATGATAATTAAGGCGGCTCTTATAGTCTGGAACAGGTTTATAAAAGCAATGAGGCGCAGATGGAAGCTCCATGATGCTTGAGGTTAAATGCAGAGAGAAAGCCACCGCTCTAGACTGCTTCTCTGGGTTTTCCAGCCATGGAGTTTTGGACGGGGCAGGGCGTTAGGCACGTTAGTCTGAGAGGCTCAGCGACCGCATGGCTTCAGTAAAACACTGAGAATGAAACCACAACCATATTTAACACAGCAGCTACAATAAATAAGCTTTTAAAATCGGTCATTGGGCTAAGGATGAAAGAGACGCCTACCTGCACAGCTCCCACTGAAAACTACAGGAATCTTTCTGAGCAGCAGCCCAGGACAGGTTAATGAGGCTGTGTTTACATCCTACAATTAGTCTCATTTCCTTGTAAAAACACATGACATCAATAAACAGCCAGGAGTGAGTTTGGACTGATTCACTGACTATGGAAATAAGCCACTAATCACATTTTAACAGGCGCCTCATGGACATACTGTAAATATAAGTAGAGCACGAAACATTGAAAAGAAAGAAATAAACTTACACCACGTTTTTCTTTTCTGTGGCACAAGCTCCAACAGCCTTTGCTACATTTACAAGCAGAGCCTGGTTAAATGACACAGAGCAGATGATGGATCAATAAAGGAATGAGTTTGAACTGCAGGAAGAACCAATGTTATATACCTGGTTTGTTCCATTGAGCAGGTTAATGAGAGCCCTTATGCCCCCACCGTTGCAGATGACGGCCTTGTTAGCTTGTATCTGAGCAAACTGTCCAGAGCTCCCACTACATTGACCAGGACCTCTTCAGGCTGATCAGTCAGCAGACCAATCAGGATCTGCAGAGCTTTGTGCTCCTGGAAGCTTTGAGGGAACAACAAGAAGAAAAGACTGCATTAGAATTTAATTAAGTTGCTTTGAATCATTTATTACAGAAACTGGACAACTAACATGGACTAAACGTCAATTCAACAGATCTTGTTGCTCTTGAGAGAGAAGACAAAACTGTGAAACAAAAGTAAAACTAGTTTAGTTTTTAACCCAGAGGCCAAATTTATGAGAGATTCTAATGATCCAGTGATTTAACAGCCAGACTAACAGTGTGTCTCCTGAGTCTCCTCTGTACAGAGCAACATGATCATCAGATGACTGGGTCAAAGGTAAAGATTGTTTTCCCTTCAGTAACATCAGCATCTTGCTGTAACTCAGCAGGACAAGTTTTCCCACGGCTCCTCACAGCCGTCCCTCGTCTTCGCTTTGCAGCACCAAACCTTGGAAACTCTTCCTTCGTCTTTAATTGTGTGATTTTGCCTTGTTTGCCTTCACTATAGAATAGTAAACTATAGTCGACATTCAGAAAGGATACACTGTGGTTCCACTAAAACCTCAGCAACCCTCTGGTGCACAGTTCATTTCTCTGGCAGTTTTTATTCCCAGTTACGGTTGCTGGCATCATAGCCTGTAAGCTATTGTAGACGGCTAAGGTCATTTGGTTCTGGGCAGGGTCCACTGAACCACAGCCTCTTCTTCAGAGTGAAAACATTGCTATTGAACTTCAGTCCAGTTCAGCATCGTGAACAACAATGGTCTTCCTCCATCATCTGAGGTATCACCTACAGCTCACTACTCTACAATGATCTTGTTTTGATAAATCAACACTGTGTCAAGTCTATTTCTGTCAGGTCCAGCTGAGGTAATTGTTTTCTGGCAGGAGTAACTTGACACAAAGCTGCCTGAAGCAGCTCCGACTGAAAACACAGGCCTCTACATGGCTGGAGGATCATAAAGCATGTTAGAGCAGACAGGAACCACAGAGGAGCTTCTGTGTGAGCAACACGTTTTCATCTGCAGTCTTTTCTTCACCAATTCATCATTACAGAGAATTCATTTTTTACCGTGATGACTATGAGCTTCAGAAAAGGTCCAAGTGATATTAAGACGTTTCAGGGACCCTGAGATCTCAAGCAACGGCCACAGAAAGCCGACAATCATTAAATTAATGAGGAATATAAGAAACAGATCAATCAATCAGAGCACAGACTAACATGGGGGAACGCTGAGCTGCAGTCGGATAAAGAGAAGAATCATTTAAAGAGGAGATTATGTTCTGCTCATGGTCGGCCTGCAGCAGAACTAAGATGGAAGGAAGCCAGGATCTGGAAGCAAACTTCACACTCTTGACCCAACCATTGCTGCTCTGGCAAACACACTCCAAGACTTGGCAGTCTCCACCTTTTCACTGCAAACTTATTGCCTCAGCCTTTTGTTAAGTCCTTTACAGCATTTCTGTGTGTCTATAACACCTCTGTCCACAGACCCAAGAGGCCACATCTGGACACAACTAAAAATCTCAACTAAATGTTTCACTGTTTCTCAGTCCTCAGATTTTATTCAGAGCTTTGTCCTTGGTTCAGTGGAGGCCTTTAAAAAGTACAAACTGTGACAATGAGCTTTTTACACATTTATAGTTGAGAACATCAACCGTTTCTCATTTCATTCCTTCATTAAATCAGAAGGTTTAACATTTGCTGCTACTTGTCTCAAATCCACAAGACTCCTTACTGTCTAGATCTGATAAATCAGTCACTAAAGCAAGACTGAATCCTGTCTGCAGGAAGATGAATTTAACTTCATCAAAGACAGAATACTCCAGTTATTGTTGCAGTCTAAAATCTTCCAAAAGGATTTCTCTTCACTTGTCGGCCTGTGACAGATTCCGTAAAGAGGGCGGGGCCTTAAAACCTTGTTTGACTAGCAGCCTCTTTTTTCCCGACAGTAATGCTTTACCTGCTTCATTCATATTCTGATCAAAGACTCAATAATCCTGAGAGAACAAAAACAAATCCACATTAACACATCTGCACAGCATTGTGCTGGTTTCCTCTCAAAAAGTTGGCCATGTTAGCAAACAGTCCGAAATTGTGCAAGATGAGAGCGCTTTTATTCTGAAAGGTTTTTAAAACGCTGAACGAGCCTTAAGTGACTGGTTCAGTTCAGTACAAGAGAAAGCAAAGTGTTCTTACCATTTCTAACTGAGTTGTTACTAAATGTGACGACGATTGATTCATAGATCATATCATTCCTATTAGAGTTATTATTAGTAATAGGGTAAATATTTTACCTCGTAACAGTGTGACAGGATTATGTTTGGAGGAGTGTGTGTGTCATGGCACTGAATGTGTTAAAATGCCACATTTTCTAACAAGAAGCTGCTTCATCAATCTCACCAAGTTGGGTCGGTTCTGATCCAGGAAGTGATGACAGATCCTTCTGAGAGCTGCTGAGAACTTTTCTTCTTACTTTTAGAGCCTCACAGCAGTTTTGAGCAAACATTGTTTTACATTTTCAAAAGTTCTTTGACACCATTTCACTTCAGCTGAAGCCTTCAGCTTCATATTTGTTACCATAACATATTTAAAGGACAACAACAGAAGAAGTTGCAGATTGATGAATGTGTTTCTGTTGCATTAAATCACTGCATGTGGGTTCCTCATTACACTCTCAGAGTCACCCCGAAGAACAAAATAAATTCACATCAGTCCGTCTGTCAAGGTCTGAGTAGTGGGAATGTTTAAGACTGCCAGGACTCAGTCTGAGAGTTTTGTTTATTTTAGAGGGAAAAATACTGACTTAAAACTCATTTGACACTTAAGTCTGAGTCAGGAACTATTCCAACCATCCTAAATGACACTTCAATAAATCTAGCCTTACATGACTAATGAATAAAGGTCCCATCAGCTCTCTAACATTAAAAATGTCTCCAGGCTGATTTCACTGTGATCCCGATGGGTGGAGTTCTGATGGGCCTTAAATGACATGACTGAGGCCTGTAAAGTCCGCACATCTGCCTGATTCATTGTTAACAGAGGAAAGACTGAAATCTAAAAGTAAACACATCAAAGATCAGAGCTGATACAATCTGAACAAAGTCTGAACATTTTACACCAATATTCTCTTTCACTGCATAAACCGAGAAAGGATCTGACAGAGGAGAGTGGAAACAATGACACAGTGAGTCGTGACTAAATAACGGCTGCATATAAAACTCACATATTTACTGATGGCACAGAGCTCCAGCAGGCTAAATCTCCTGTTCTGGATCCATTGTGTTAATTCTTTACACACTGAGGAACTGTTGTGAAGCACATCAGCTCAGCAAGCACAGGCTCCAAAGTTTATTGGCACATGGGGATAAAATGTCTAATTCTTATTAAACCTCTTTCACACAGAACTGTATGAAACGCTGTTCCAGTGAGCAGGTAGAAATTTGCTGAAGTCATTTTGATCTGTTATCCCCCCAAAAAAAATCACAAAAACAAAGGCAGAGGACATGTGTTCTTTATGTCTAACATGATGCTTTCACATGACTCCAGGTGGGACAATAAATAGTAAAGATGTGTGCATACATAGCTACGTTCTCCATGCTGATTGAACACTTCCAAATGGCCCCGGTGGCAGCAGCCAGCAGCTGTTTGTTCTCTGCTTTAGAGAGCAGCGACACCAGAGGCTGCAGGCCGTGGTGGTTCCGGACCAGATCCCGGGTCAGTTTGTCCTCTGCACACTGTGAAACAAACAAGAGATCTGAGAGAGATGTGCAGTCTGGCTCTATTCAGAAGCACAGAGATCAGGTGTTTGTTTCAATGAAGGGCTTCTGTCCAAATAAAGTAATTCAAGACAGAAACCCAAGTACCTTAAAGATTGCACTGGCACAAAGCATCTGGAGCTCCTCATTGTCACTGCTCAAGTTTTTCACCAAGTCCTTCACCATCCCTTCACTTTCAATAGCAACCCTGTAGCTTTTCTGTAGGAACAGAAAAACACAACAAAACGACACAAGCATGCATAAATATTCAAATACATTGTTTCCTATACATGCTTAAACATCATCAAAAGTCTTTAATTTTTTTAAATAAAAATTTTAAATAAAAATTTATCTTGATCTACTTTTTCTTTACTTCTTAATAATAATTGTCAGTTGAAATGTCATCGAATCTGAAGCAAACATCAAACACGTTCATCATTTAAACGTCACTGTGAACGCTCTGTCGTTTCTTGACCTTTCAAGCTGCCTGCTGGACACTGTGTGCTCACCTTGAAGCTGACAAAGTCCTCCACCATTTAAAACTGACGATTTAACCAATAGCTTTAAATGTCATCCTTGATCCAAACTGCAGCCAGAGACTGACTGCTGAACTGAACGTCTCCAGCACACAGGGAGAAACATTTCATCTAAGGAGTCAGAATGTCCTGTTTTTAAAGTTTACACTAAAAGAAAGTTTTAAATGTTGTAGATTTTCGTCATTAAAATGTCAAATAACTTCCACATTGGACGTTCATTGTGCAAACATTTTTTTCCTCAGCTCCTGGTACCTGGTTCCACTAATCACCTCCTAAGCTTTGTAAGTCTGCCAGTTTCTTACAAAGCTACTGGCAGATTAAGCTGTAGCTTTGTCTTCTTTGTCACACCTGTTTCCAGCCTTGATATTTGTCATTTTGTCAACTCTATTTTTAGATTTTGTAACACCATGATTTTCCTGTTGTCCAGTTTCCATTTGAGTCTTAGAACTACTAACGCTCCAAAGTTTTTCTATCGCAAAGCAGGAAAAAAAATAAGAAAAAAGAAAGTACCACAGATGTTTTACAATCGCAATAAATATTTAATGACAAAATTAAATTAGTAAAAGTTTGTAGGAAGCATCACTAGTTTAAATTGAATTAGTCAAAAATAGAAAAAAAAACCTGAATCTCAGTGATGATTAACAGTCATGACTGTTTCACAGAAACAGATTGACATGTCTTAAAGCAAAATAACAACATTACTGGATACAGAGGCTCTCCTCACCTGTGAGGCACATTCCTGCAGGGTTCCCACAACAGGGATCACCATGTTCTCATATGGAGACCTGAGCAGGAGTCCCAGCAGAGGGATCCCCCCAGCTCTACGAATGGCCTCCTTGTTCTTGCTACTTTTGCTGAGGCTCCACAGAGCCAAGGCTCCACAGCGGGCCACCTCCAAATCCTTCTCTATGGCTTCTCCCGGTTTGGCCGAGTCAGGGAAGCATTCCAGCAGCTTCACCTGGTCAGAAAGAGGATCCCAAACTTTTAAACAACTCAGTGAAGCTGACATGATTCCAGAAACTTCATGAGGTTTGCTTCCTACTTTGAGGTGACAATGGAGGGTTTTGAATGGGAAGAATAAGTAGTTAGCCATGATTAAAGGTGTAATTAAAACTCTTATTACCACTGGCTGTGCAAGGATGAAAGCAGAAGAGATGCAGGAGAGAAAAAGGTAGGTCTGTGGGCTATTCCAAACACAAAATCATTCTCATATAATGAGATTTCAGTCTGCTCAGTTCTACCTACTTTGAACTTCTTTCAGAATGAGCTATTTTGGAGCCCCTTGTCACTTTAAATCCAAATAAGCTGCTATGCTCCCCTAACTCAACGTTTACACTCCCAAGTGAAAAGGCCTGCAAACAAATGCATAATTATACAAACACACATAATTGAAAAGTAGAGGAAGTGAAGCCTCTTGCACAACCAACAAGAATGCAACAAGTGTTTTTTTTTCTTTTTCTGAATAGCAAGTCAACAGCAAAACACTTGTCTTGTCCAGCAGCCATTGCACAGCACGTATAGCTGGAAAATCATCCAGCTTAGCTTCGGCCTAACGTGCTGAAACTAAGCATAGGTTACAGTTGACAGGCTCAACTCTCTGATGGTTGGAGGTTTTGGAAACGGTTCTAAAAACATTAATTCATTGACACAAAAGAGCTGGGTGTTTTATTTAAGAGCTTGGACCGTCTCATAGAAGCAGTTGAGGCCCGAATGGGAGCTCCCAAAAAGAAGCAAACATCCATCATTCCAAGCTGAGACTCACCAGTTTCTGGATTCCTCCATGTACCCTCACTATTCTTCTTGCTCTTCTGAACGTAGCCACATGTGCAATGGTCTCAGAAGCCAAGGCCTGCAGCTCCTTCACTGGTAAGTCCAGATTGTTCACCATCCTCTGCAGGCCTCTCATGTTTACAATGGTCTGTCGGATGATAACGTTCTGGCTGATCTTTACCAGGATTTTTAAAGATCCAATCTGATCAAATGACAAAAGCAATGTGTGGGGAAAAAAAGTAAGAACTATTAATTTACAATAACTGTAACTTTACAGGACTATGTAGAAGTCAAGCACTCAGGTGTATTTCCAATAAAAGTAGTCAAAAAGTCTGAATAAAAGCAGCTCTGCACTGAATGATCAGTCATGCACATGTGCAGGTTGAGTCCTTGGTCCCTGGAAATTACTGCGTCTCACGAGAAAAATGAGGGATTGAGCGCCGAGTGTCATGTGTCTTCATAGACTCACATGGATCACCGGCAGATCACCGGTGACTTTGTTGTGATTAACATTTGACCTACACAGGCGCAAGGATTATCATTTAGTTCTTGAAGAGTCTGCTCTGGTCATAAAGGTGAATAACTGCCGCCTGTGTCTTTAACAGCCTATACCAACACTCCTGTAACACTAATTAAAACCCATACTGACTGCAATCCATCCAGGTCCAGCTTACGTAAAGCTACTCACTTTGCTTCTGATGTCTGTAGTATCCAGCAAGTTTAGGAGAAGCTCCAGCCCACCTAAGTCCAGGATAGCCAGTTGGATGATCTCCTTCGATAGATCAATATCCATCATGGCGCAGAGAACAAGCACAGTAGCTGTCTGGTCCGCTGCCTAAAAAGACGTTTGTCGAACAGGAAGAAAGAAAAATTAAAGTGAACATTCAAGGCTAAAGGGATTGATGCAGTGCTTATAGTATAATGAATCAGAGAGAATCAGTTTCTCTCTGATTCACTTTGACTGGATGTATTTGGTTGCTACTGCAGGCTGGTACATAGCTCAGTGGTGCTAACCACTGAGGGAAACATTTATTCTGCAGAGACTGAAGCTCCTCGACCAGAACCTCAGACTACGTTGAATATTGTGTTTAATTGCTTGTTGTCTTGAAGTTATCTTCAGACCTAGGGAGGAATGATATAGAGTCAGCACACAGCTTCAGTCAGAAACTAGTGATCAGGCCTGAATGCTGGGTGTTGGACTCAGACCTGAACTGCCAGAGCTACAAGTTCAGCCCATCTACTGAAAAACATTTCCAGGATTATAAAATCTAATTCACTGATTGATTGTTGTACCTCTGCTGTGTTCTATCATAAGTACCAATGAACAAACACAGAGGTGTGGAAAAAACACACTTAACTTAAATCTAAAGTAGAAGTTGAAACAGGCTAATTAGTGGGGACCTATATCCACAATCTCAGTTGTGTGATCAGATGATCTTCACAGAGCAGTTCTCTGACACTGCAAGACAACAGGAACATGTGTTCTCCATATCATGAAGCTAAAACCTAAATGTGAACCATTTGCCCATTAACAGCAGTGGATCTACTGCTTCCTTTGCCTCCTCCATTCTAACTCTTCAAAGAATTTGCTGAGCCAGCTTCATTCCTTGTAAAAACAAGAAAAAATGTGATGTTCAGGAGCGATAGCTGGGAAATCAGAAAACAGATCATATGTTTTCATTTTCAGATGCTCTGGTCTGGAAGGATTGTCGACATTCTTTAAAACATCGACACCATCTGAAGTCTCTCATGATGAAGGATTTCTGACTTTCCTTCAGCAGGATCACAGCAGATGCTCCGAGACAAAAACATCCAACAACTATTCAACCTTCGAAGAAATTATTCAAATCAATGTAAACTTACTCCACTAATTCTTAGAGGTCAACACCACAGTGGCATCAGGTGCATAAATTAGTGATTCTTAAGCTCTTCTAGCTATTATGGAACAGTTGATAGGAAAGTTTCATCTTCTTGTTTGATGAAACTTTGTAGTTAAAAAGGGTTGAACTAGTCTGAAGGATAAAAGCAGCACCAAAAGTTTCTTTCATGAACTTGATGAGTTTTCAGGCAGATTCCTTCCACATGTTGCTGCTTCTCTCCCTGCAGGTTTCTCTGCCTGAGCTGCTAACAGCAGAAGCCTCCACGTGGCTGAATGAAGGCCTCCTTGTAATCGGGTTCCTCTGGAACGGCAGCTGGGATTCTGCAGACACAGTCTGACCTGCTGCAGCTCAAGGCCAATAAATCACAGCACTAAGGATGTGGAGCAGGATTGAGGTGAGCAGCAATGCCAGAGAGGGCCTGCTGACCCTTTATGCAACACTTTCTGCATGTGACCTGGACATGTTGCTAGAAGGAGTGAATATCTGTGTTAAGTGTGGTGCTCTGATCTGTAGTGTATGCAGGTGGCTGACAGAACTTGGTAGATCTTAATGTCAGAGAGGAAACCTGGCAGAGTTTGAACTAATGAGGACAGATCAGTGTTCAAACTGCAGGTTCAGAGTGAAGATCACCCAGTAACAAGAACTATCCAGTCTCTGGATGCTCATAGGAAGGATGGTGGTAGAACTGAACAGAATGATTGATTATTGGATGTCCAGTAAAATAAAGTTGAATCACTTAATATTTATCAGTGTCATTAAAGGAGTTAATCCCTTATTGAATAAAGTTCTCGTCAGGTCTTTGAGTTGAGAAATGCTTTGTTCACAAGAAGAAAGTGATGCCATCATTAAACTTGTGAGAATAAATAATTATTAGAAAAAAAAACATCAGATGTTAGAGGACAACATAATGAGACAGAAATTAGCTTCTGGTGAGAAAAAACTGCTGCTACTGACTGCTTTATGGATCAGTGTTATTGCAGCAATCACTCATGGATCTATGAAGAACAATGCAGCAGTTCTGCTTGTGGCCAGCAGAGGGAGGAAACGTTAATGAGGACACAGCTTGCATCAATCAAGCTGTTAAATTCATTAGTTTAATGAAAATCTCAGTGGATATTGAAACAAGTTTAACATCATCTTCCAAAAATATCTCTAGTTTTATCAGCTCTGTTTCTTTCTGCAGTCATTAGATTGAACCTTTAAAATCAACCAAATTTTATTTGTGTAGCACATTTCAGCAGCAAGATATTTCAAAGTGCTTCACATCATAAACACAAAAACACAAAGTCATGCAACATAGAATTAACAATCAAAACATGACATTCAGTCATGTTCCATCATTTAATTGATAATTGATTACGTTTCCAATACAATTCTAAATAGGTGGGTTTTTAGTCAAGATTTAAAGGAAGTCAGTGTTTCAGCTTTTTTACAGTTTTCTGGAAGTTTGTTCCAAATTTGTGGTGCATAGATGCTGAATGCTGCTTCACTTCATTTGGTTCTGGTTCTGGGGATGCAGAGCAGACCAGAACCAGAAGACCTGAGAGGTCTGGAAGGTTGATACAACAACAGCACATCTTCAGTGTATTGTGTATTCAGTGATTTTGTAAACTAACAACAGCATTTTAAAGTCTATTAAAGTCAGTTGCAGTATTTCAACCTGCCGCTTCTTTCCTGTTAAATAATCTGTTTATGACAGGGATGAGGGTTAGGGTAAGCCCTAAGCTCAAACTTTAATATTGATGCATTAGAAACTGGAGAGGGAAATGAGAATTATGTGACACAAACAGCTTAATTCATGTTTGTCAGAAACTGACTTCAGTTTGCATTCTGGATGTTGTGAGAATCAACATGAGCCTCATAGAGGAACAGGTCTGTAGCCGTCCAGGTAGAAAAACAAACACTTCAGACTCCTGAGCAAATATTCCCTCATAAACATCATTAAAAAATTCAAACAGATCAAGCTTGTGTCGCTGTGTGAAAGTGTTTCACTTTCAAAACAACAAGCAGCAGTCTGTGGTGTGAGAGGGAAAAGATCTGCTCCTAAAATAAAAGCAAATATTTCTTATTTGTTTTTTTCTTTTTATGGTGATATTATGAAATGACTGCAGATCAAAAGGTCATAAATAACTACACTGTGGGGTTTCCAGACAGAAAGAGAGCAGGGACATGCTGTTTAGAGTTACATGCATCTTTCTGCTGCAGGAAAACACAAAACTCTAAAGCCATCAGCACAATCCTGATGTTAAACTTTAAATACACTGAAAAGTGTGTCGATTTTATCTGAATGTTGCCTCTTTCATATCATTTACATTCCTTTGTTCCTTTGTTGGAAATAGTGAATTCCTTCTTTAAGATGTGGAATTTCCTCCCAATTATTTTCTATTTTCTTCAGCTAAAAATTCCCTCACATAATTCCTCTTGACTGGAGAGTTTTCCACAAAACATTTCTTTCCTGGAGTGAGCAGGATCTCATTTAACAACAAGCTCTGGAAGTCAGAAAAATAATCAGTTCCAACAGGACACCACAAAATTGTTTCCTGAACATCAAGCACTTCAGTATTAAGCTATGAACTTATTTTTATTGCTGAAGAATGAAGTGTGAAAGTTATTCCTAATATAATTTGTCTGAGTGATCCCGTCTAGATAACACAGAAAAGGGATCAGAAAAAGGAGGAAGGATTTTTTAGGTATTCCCAGTCAGTCTGGGGTGCTGCTGCATCCAAATTAATATTCCCCATATGTCCTGTCAAAGCTATCATAGATTTACTTCTCTGTGGTTTGGGCTAACAGGGATACAGCTGTCTTTCATTATTGCCTCCTGAACCTTGGCTCTGATATGCAAACCAAACAGGTTTGTGTCAGAACAAGAATCCAATCAAACACTTCAGGAAACATCCCATCCAAAGCAGAGCTTTAAATAGGAACAGTTGACATTGGTTTCCTCTGACATCCTTCAGTCACGGACTCAGATCACGAGTCTGGATCTAAACAGGTGGCATGGTCTTATAGGAATGCAGGCTTTGGGAACAGTTTTGATTGGGAGGCAGATGGACAGAAAAAGAGCCCTGATTTTACTGCCTCCTGTCAGCTATGGCCTGCTTTGCCTGAGCTAGAAAAACTCTCACTATATTGGGATGAATTCTATCTGCGGAAGGAAACAACAGTGTTCTGGGCGATGTTCTCAAACCTTGAGGTACTTGACGAGTTTCTGGACCTGCCAGTACTCAGACTGCAGTTCAGTGTTGGTATCAGGACGTCGCTCTGTCTGCTCCTCTTCCTCCTCACTTTCACTGGAGCTCCCGCTGAAATGGTCATCTGGGAAGGATGCTGTTATGCTTTTCCTGAACACAAACAGCACATCTGTGACTGTAGATAACCACATCTGGAGGAGTATGAGAGAGGATACATTTCATTCAAAGGGATGAGCTGTAACATCATGATTCATTCTGGGAGTTTAAATGGATAAACAGCTTGGCCATCCTACTCTAGAGCACCCATCAACTATATTCATATTTCAGGTTCAAATTAGAACTTGCACAAGATCTGAGCAGCGGGAAAAAACATCAGAATAATGTCACAAGAGGATAGGAGCTGTCATCACACAAAGAGCGAAGACTCGTTGAGCCATTCATGCAACAACAACTGCAGATGTTTCTTTAAAACTGCAGAGCTGGTTAGATCAGGAATACTGGGCATTGTGGGCCAATGAAATCTGCTCCCGGTTCAAATGAGAGGTGGTTCCCATAAACAGCCAGATAGCATTTGCAGGGAGAAGATTATCAGAGAGAGGAAGCTCATCTGAGTGGTTTTCAGGATGCGGCAGATGAACGCTCAATGAAGCTTCTCCAACGCGGCCAGAACTGTGGTGTCCTGGTGGGAGATGAAGAGTGGACTGACCCTGGAGTCTTCACCGACTGGACAGAGAATGATGGCTAATGACGAAAGAGATGGTGGTTTAAATCCACTTAGTTGATTCCACTAGTACTAGTAGTAGCAAGGAATCACAGATGCGACAACATTCAGTTCCTTATGCCAGCATCCAAATCTGATGCGCGAAATACCACAAAGTCTGCAACGTCAGAACAATATGAAATATTTAAAAGGTCAACTCATATCAGGTTTATTATTTTTAGAGTTGAACTGTTCAATATTTCATCTTCACAGTTAAAAGGTAGGTACCAGTAGGACTACATGACCGGTATCTCCTAAGAGAGATGCCACTTTGGAGCTACTCTGCCTTTTTTACAATTCTTAATAAAAATAAAACTGGTTTTATAGCACATGTTACATGTACGTCTCAAAATGCTAGAAAATTAAAACAAAAGTATTAACCACTGTAAAACATAATAAGAACTCATTTAAAATATAAATCATAAGATCTTAAAACAGGAATGTTTTGAGAAATACATTGTGGTCTGTGGCACCATGGAAGCTCACTCCACAAGCAAAGACAAACTGAGATAAATGCCCGGTTAACTTCGTTTGTGGGGTTTAGAGACACTCCTGTGTTGCGCATGGACAGTACTTCGAGGAAGCGAGGTACGATCCTGTGAATGCTCTTGTATTGAATCTGTGCAAAAACAGGGAGCAAGTGAAGAGAGTAGTGATGCTGTCATATTTTCTGACTGAAAATGCAAATGAATCTTTGTGTGATTCTTTCCTGTTTGCCAGTGGTAGAAGACAGAGTGGATATGTCTCCTCCCACTCCACGCATGTGGAGATTTAATGTAAACAAAGGTGAGCAAGTGACACATAGCCCACCTGAGCGCGCGTCTATAAATAGAATCTGGAGGGCTATATTTGGTGTCTTATGTTCTTGCTGTTGTTTTGGCGTGCTTCACAATAGTCCAAGTTTTGGGGGCTTATTGGTTTCTGCAGGTCTGACAGTATCTGACAGTGGACAGGCTGCATCAGATAGAGGGTCTGCTGTTCAGAGCTACTGTCATCATTCTAAGGCAGGGGTGCCCAAAGTGGGTCCCCGAGGGCCGGCATCCGGCATGTTTCAGTTCCCTCCCAGGTGGTACCAACAACCTTCTCAACATGTCAGTGTTCTTCTTAGGCCTTCTAACAAGCCATCATTGGATCCAGTTGTGTTAAACCAGGGAGAGAACTAAAACATGCAGGATGCCGGCCCTCCTGGACCCATTTTGGGCGCCCCTGTTCTAAGGAATGCCTCGAACTTGATCCAGGAGGCAGGAGGATGCACCAGCAGAGGAGCGGTCTCCAACTATAGGGTGTCAGTCAGCTGAGAGAGTCGATAAGAATGCAAAGTGGAGTCGATGTTGGTGATTTTGGTACAGAAAAAAACCCAAGAACCTATTCTTCTACATTTGACAGATCAATATTAGAAAGGTGAATAAACACTTCAGGTGTTTTATTTCATCAGGAAAAAGTAAAAGGTGTGAACAGCTCTGTATTCTCCATTTGCATTTTAAGAACCTCAGTATATTATGTTAAAACAGATCAAAACAGAGGGAGCTGTGGTTTCCTCCAGCGTTTCTGACCATCTCTTATTTAATTATTGTGGATTTATTTCTATCACCACTTATGCTGCAGTTGCCATGTAAACATTTGCAATAGTTGGAATTACACGTTCCAGCGTCTTTGCTGCTTTCATTTAACAAAGCATTCTTCTGTGATGCTGTAAAGTGGGAACATTTCCACTTGTGCAGCTAAAACTTTCCTTTCTAGACTAAGACAGGCAAATGATAACCTAATACTTACCTTCTCTGGGAAGCTGTAAGTCCAATTGAAGATGCTGCTGTGAGTCCACTTTTCTTCCTTTTGGATCCCAGTTTTTTCTTCTCTTCAGCACTCATCATGAGCTCCTCTTCGTCTGCTAAACTGTAATAATTTCAAACAAGAGTCATTATGACTGCTTCTATTTTTTATCATCATCATTATTTAACAATCTGAGACAAGGCTGGTACTTTTTAGTTTCAACTTGAGCCAGTTTCTCCTCCAGTGTGTCCACTTATCAAAAGCTCCAGCTGCAACAGCTCAGCTCTTTCTAGATCTATTTATCAGTCAGAGACCAGATGTAATCGCTGGGTTTTTTGTTTTTTTTCACAACTTCTCCTGGTTTGGGGTCTGTAATTGGGCAGACAGGGGTTCCACACTCTGAAGACTTTATTAACTCTGATCACTGAGCCATCAGGAATATTACCACTGATATTCATAAAGCATCCAATCATCTCTTCATAAAGTGTGACTGCTGGCAGGCATGCTGAGCAGATGTGGAGAGAGCTCTGCATCCTTCTGCTCCAAAGCTCCTCTGCACTGACAGAGGGATCACTGCCTCACTCTCTTCATGGCAGTCTGATCAGATTTAAAGCCACTTTTCTTACATCACTTCTCACTTACCCATTTTTGTTCAGCACACCAAGATTCCTCCATCTATGACATGGTTCACGTTTCTTCCTGCCGTACAGAGATTCTTGTACTTTCTCCCACTCTTTTTCTTCAGCCGTCTTGGGTTGGGCTAGTTCTATTTCATAAGCCAGGTGTGCAACGTGAATACTCTTACGAGGTTTCTGTTCCACAAAATACTGATGGTGACAGAAAAAAAGCAGAGGTTAAAAATAGAGAACAAAGATTCAATTATGTCAAATATAATAAATCTTGATGGAACAAATCTGTAAAACTCTGCAAATGTTACTTATTAAACCCAAATGGTCAGTTTGATTCCTGCTACTTGTGAAGATGTGTTCTGAATATTGTCCCAACAAACATCAGAGTTTAATTATGTTTCATTATTGGATTAAAAGGATATTAATGTCGAACAAAGTGTTGTCATGTCAGTCCAAGAAGAGTGAAATGAAAACAACACAGCAGTTATTAGAGGCAAACGAGAAACCTGAACTCCCATAAAATCCCTTGTGAACAATCTGCAGGCCTGCATCAGGACTGGGTCTTTACTGAGCAACTGGAACAAAAGAACACGATCCCAAAGCTTTCCAAGGCACAAATCCCTCTTTAATCATCTCAATGACATCAAACGTCTCCCATTCCTCAGAATCCAACTAAAGGCTCCCAGCTCAGTCTGAACTGAACTGCTGTTCTTCACATCTGACTGGTTCTGGAGATTTGAAGCTCTACAGCAAACTGTACAGCCTGTAGAAAAATGCCAACGTGCCTGAATGAAGGTCAAAGTTTAATCACTGACACCTGCTTCTGCAGGAACAGCTCAGACTCTGATTGGCTATCAGGAGCTGCACATTGTTAAGGGCAGGGAAGGGAATGAACGTGTTCATCTGCAGGTTGGGTTCACCATCAGCTGGATCCAAGCGCGGCCCATCGTCTCATTAAACACAAAGTGACTCGCTACTGGAAACATACAAGTCAATTCACCCAACCACAGACTAACAGGCAGACTTTATTAGGCTAACCAAAATTCTGTAATTCTCTTATATGTGAAATGGACAAGAGCCATGTGTTTGCTGAAGGGAACACTCCCTAGAATAAAATCAAACTCTGTTCCAGATGCTTTTAAAACGCTGTAAGTGAGAATGATGTCGGAGAGTTCTGAGCACTGAAACCTATTTATTAGTAGGTGTCCTAACGTCCCCTCTGGGATCCTCTGGTCCAGCACTGCTGGTTCAACTTCAACAAGCAGACATGTTTGGAGATCAGCTGCTGGTGTCTCTGGCTGCTTCTTGTGGGTTTGAGCTTCTGCTTTGCCATCAGGGGAGGGGAGCTGCAATGATGCAACTTAGTTTCCTCAATTGGACCTGAAGAGAGCCTGTCCATAAGAATGACTGTGATTCTTAAATGTCTCCCAGATATGATGCTTGTCGTTCCATTTACTAGAATCATCAGCAAACAACTGCTTTGAAATATCCTGCAGAGATAAAAACCTAAACTGACATGGCAGTGAGCTGTATGGATCAAAGCAATGAAGGAATCTAAGGGGAACAGATCCAGACAATGATTTGTTCCACCGCAGACTCCTTCACAGTTAGTTTTACTGCAGCTCTCCATCATTTTTATCCTCTTCAGGCTTTAGGCATCACCCTCCACACAGAACTCATAAAACATTAAAGCCTAACTGTCTTTTGTAATCGTGGCTCACTCTGGCACTGCTCGTTGGTTTACTGAAGTTTCTACTAACCCCACAACTACGTATGATGGCACCTCCAGGTCTGTCAACAGCTGAAGGAAATGAACTGAGAACCAACAGGTGACTATAGGCACGTGTCTCAGCCTTCAGGAACGCCTCAGTTCTTTATCTTCTCCTTTCTACTCAAAACAGTCAGACTTTCGTCTTTTAAAGTCGTCTTTCTAGGTTGCCTTCCAGGGAGTGGTCTGCTCTTTGACTCATTTCCAACCTAATACATGAGCAAATAAAAACATCCTGTCTTAGAAACCTGCCTGTGAAGTTCTCATTTATAGTACTCTATATGTTCTAGATGATTCATAGGTAAGTGTGAAGGTTTTAACCAACAACTGTCTGCAAAAACTGGATGGGTTCAAAGATTGAAAAGAAAAAATTAAAGACCTACAAACAGGATCTCTAAAAGATCTTCCTAATCTCTTTATAATGCTTCAGATCTTCAACATCTCTGTAGATACATATTCATTCTCATGATGCAGTAATAATCAAACTAAACGTAGTTTTGTTGCTTAAGACATATATCATTCATTTTTTTGCCCTCTTATATTCAACCCAGTTTTTAGAAATCAAATTAAATATCTGTTGTGATGATTTCCATTTATTAAGAATTAAACGATTTTTCTAAAAATGAGCTTTAGAAACTTTTCCTTCAGTGTAAAACAAGAGCTGATCCTCAGAAATCAGGCGGAGAGCATGAACGAAAACTTCAAGCATCCGATGATCCTGTGATGATGGCACATTTTCCATCAACAGTGTGAGGGAGAGAACCTAAGATCAAATTTCTAAATGATTAATAGAGGTTTTTTTTTTTTTAAAGAACAGATGGAGTCCATTATTGAGGTCATCTGTCAAATTACTTCAGTAGGAAATAGCACTACTGAATAAAACACACATATTTTAGCGTCTGGAATTGAGGAAAATGTGCCTCTACGTTATGTGTGTATATTGGCTTGAACGAGCCTTTACTGTTTTGACTCGACTTGGAAGAAAGCAGATCAGAAATGTTTCAACCCGGTGACAGCCACACAGAAGCTTGCTGGCATAGAACAGCGCAGTGACTGATTCCTCACTCCTCACTCTGTTCAGCCACTCTGCTGCTGTGGCTGAACAGAGGAAGACCTCTTTGTCCAAGCTTCTTCATGGACTAAGAGGGATTATTCATCCCCAAACAGGTTTGAGAAAAGGCGTGTTGGTGTGTGGTCTTAGAAGCATCTTTTTCACTGTACCTGTTTTCTCACGTTCTGATCAAAATGTGGAGACACTTTCCTTATAAGTGAAGCTATGTCTTCACAAAAATCACCTTGTCTCTCATAGAGACTCTCGTCTTCTTCTTTGTCCACCCCCTGTGGGGAAAACATGAAGCAAAATATGATCATTAATCATAATAAAGCAGCTATGCCAACCAAAGAGCTAGAGCTTAAAACTGTCTCTACCTATCAGCACGTCAAACACTTCATTTCTTTTTTTATTCAATGCACACAAACTGAAAATTACAGCATTTCTTTTTCTACAAATGCGTCAGCAAGCAACCAGTTCAAAAATGTGATTTTTGTTTCCAATTCAGTAAAAATCAGATAATGATGATATGAGACAGAAAAGGGGATAATCTGGTGATCATCTCAGTTTCTGACAGATTCAAAATTCTGATGTCAATCAAGAAATGTGCAACACATTGTGTTTCGTGACCAATTTTAATTACATTTCATGATTTAAATGAAAAACTGCACATTGATACACTAATTAACCTGACTTGATAAACAGTTTCAGCTATAGTCAAAACCACTGTATTACTTACCGCATTACAAAAGGCTCCAGCAGAGCTGCAGGTGATGTACAGGGGCTCAGCGTCACATGGCTCAATAACAAGGTAACAAATCTCACCAAGCAGCTGTCTCCAAGGTGGAGCACGACAGCCGTTTGGAAACTCATAGTCTGAAAGAAAAAAACCCCAAAACACACTAAATGTGAGCATACAGGGCCATTTAAAACCTGCAGGAATCTCCCAGCAGAATTCCTATGAAGGAACTGAGGATGATGGGAAGACAAAGGAAACCAAGGATGGAAACAGAAGCTTGGGAAGCTGATGGTGATAAAATAGAAGCTCTGAGGGGAGAAGCTCTGTCTGATGAATCACTTTCATTTCTAGTGTAAATCATCCACTAAGAACCTCGGCCCCACAGTTACACTGCTTCAACCTCAGCTTGGAGAGAATTTCAATTGATGCTGCTGGAGAGCAGACGGACATGGAAACCTGTTTCTGCCTCATGCTTTGTTTTCAGTTAGACAACAAGCATCTGCAGACTAAAGGCTCTGTAAACCAGAATCTGTCAGATAGAATGACCTCCATGTTGGCTCCAGCTGCACAATATTAAGATTTTTGTCATGAAAAAGACAGCATTCGTGTTAACAGTGAAATGTGAAGAAGATTTCAACCTGATGTGTATCTCAGTGACTTCAGCAGCATCTTCCCTCCTTCAACGCAGTGCTGGTTCAAGAACTCCACTTCCTCCTCCACTGCGGTGGGTAAAACCTTAATTTGTCTGGAGTCAAAATGTAGAAAAATAAACACAGATCAAAGATCCTGATTCAGTCAAGTCACAATCTTTTATCATGCTGCCTGTTTCTGTCAGGCAGAACCACAGGTCACAGCTGATCAGTTGGAACGAGAACAGTAGTCGTGGTCTGATGCAATGCGAAGACATGTCTAAGTAGAGAGAGAGAGAGGTACTCACTTTGCTATTTCTCCAACAAACTTGTTGAGGATCTTTTCATCAATGTGTTTGAGCAGGACAAACAGCTTAATTCTGATATCTAATTCCAGAGCTGAGAGGTCTTCCTCTGATGTGTCGACGAGACGCCGACCCACAATCCTAGCCATGAGGTCTCTATTTTCTGGAGACAGAACAGATCAGATTTACAGAATCAAACGAACAATAATTATTTTACACAATTTCAACCCCAGAGCCCAATAAATCAGTTCCACCTTCTTTTCTCAGACAAATAATGGCCATATTACATCTCTGTCTGTAGTGCTAAAGTAAAAGGCCATCAATGAAAACCTGCCAAAGGCAACATAACTGGATGCTTTCAGAGAATCAACAGGAACACAGAGAAATGAGATCAGGTGGTGATGGAGGAACGCTGGACAGCTTTGGATGGAAACAGTTACCTTCTAGACACGCTTGGGTCTCTTGACGCTTCCTGTCATCTGCCAGTTGCAGCAGTTTAGAGAGCTGGCCGAAGCTACGAACAGAAACAGAAGGTGGAAAAAACTGCAACAGTGGCGTCCCCTCACTGTCTTTTTCAAGGGACTTTACACCTATGGCACTGCAATAAAAAAAAAAGAGAGGAAAAAATGGTTCACCTACCATTTAGCAGAAAACAGGCAAAATTTCATCCAGCAGACAGAATGCTTTTCATCAAAGCAATATTGAAATGAGTAAAAAATGAAAGCTTGACTTGTTCAGGCTGAATTTAACTGGACACGCAGGCTACAAAAGTCCACTAAGCTGTTTCTCCTAATTCATTACTAAAAGACATGAAATAACCAAAAGTCAGCAGTGTGTAAGAGCCTGGGAGGAATGTTTAAACCTGTTGGAGCATTTCTCCACTGCCAGCCGGGCACATTTAGTGTCAATCACACAATAAATGCAGACCAGAACATCTGATTACATAAAAAAGGAACCTTCTCTGATTCACTGAAGATGAAAAATACACTAATTGCAACAAAAACTAAGTTCTTCATCCGGATACAGTCTGAATTGCTGCAGCAGAGCCCAGGGAAAGAAACTTTCTGAGATTGTGTTGACACTGAGAGACTGCCTGAGTGATGGCAGATAATAGTGAGAGTTCATCATGAGTCCAACCTGATGATATAGTCGTCTTTGAAATCAGATTTCTTTAAAGTGGTGTTCCACTGAAGCGGCTCCTCAAACACATGCTCTGCCTCCTGCGGGTGCCTGGAAACAAAATTCTCCGCGCAGTGCAGGACTTGCGTCACCAGAAACTCGTTGAGTGGAGTGGACTCCAGCTTGGAGGCGCTGGTCCACTGGGCCGCCCTGGTCAGGATGAGCCCCATAGCGCCCCCTGAAGTCCAGAAACAGAACAAACCGGAGCAAAAAAAAAAAAAAATTCTCAAGCGTCGCTTCAGTTCAGTGTCGGTGTACAAAAAACAGACTGTTTTCTGAGGACTTTAACTTTAGCTGCAGGACATGAACATAAATACGAGCTACTTCTGGTTTGGCGAGTCTTTTATAATGTCAAACATACCTTTAGCAACTGAACATTAAATAAAATAAGTTCACCCCTTCAACACATAAAGCAGCTCAACTACCGTCGAAGGACAAAACTCACACACTCACCTGGAGGCAGTCTGAACACAATACAATGCTAACAAGTATTTATATCCCCTGAAAAAAGTGTCTGCGTCACTTAAAATGTCCCATTACCGAACTACAAACAAGCGTCGACCCTTCAGCAGTTGACCGAAACCAACGGTTACCACGGAAACCACGTCCTGGCGTCCCTTCTGTTGTTGCTATGAGACAGTCCAGAGAAACGGAAGCCGAGCTGGGCCAAACTTCCTCTTCCTGGTGTTTGAAATGAATCAAGTTAGGCGTAATGAAACTTGAAATGCCATCAGACACAAACATGTTTAGTTATCGGCACATTCTGGTATTTTAGGGAATAAATGGAAGAGGAAAAAAAATACAAATAAATGACATTATTTCAAAATAACAAATTCAAGCAGGGGAATCACTTCATTTTACATGAAATGAATACATTAGGTAATGTGTCAGTAGGTTAAAGTGCTTCTGGTTTATGGTCTTTACTCTAGCCTATATTAATTTCACCACCAAATCGGGCAGCAAGCTCAGCAGATATAACTATAATATTAGAGCTGCAGGTCTGTCTGTTTTTTTTTTTTTGGTTCTTTATGTAGTGAAGAAACTTACAGTGTCCAGAAATTTAACTCAAAAAGTTTCAAACAGAAACATTAAAACGTAAAAGGATAGCAAAAAACTCTCAAAGTGTCAAGTTCAATATTGTCTCAAATCCTTTGATTTAATGAAACCAATCGTGTGCCATTAGGATGCCTTTTATGTAAAGCAAAACTGCCCTGGAACATGACCTGTGAATGCAATGACAGGACATGTGAAAAAATAAAATAAGTAAATATCTCAATAAGATCGTCCACCTCAGCTCATATTTGAGAGCCTGTTTCCTCTCTTGCTCCTGGTTTGGCTTGGTACTGCAGACAAACACTGAGGACTGAAAATATTCTGTTTGTGTTCACTCTCTCTGTTTGGACCCAAAGGTTCACTCAGTTCAGAGTTATTCACCACAGGCTGGAAGGTCCTGCTTTAAGGTGAACGTACAAGTTCTTCTTCAGGTGTTTCATCTCAGCGTTCTCTGATTTTCCTCAACGTTCTCCAGTTTGAGCAGGATAAGAACCAATGCTATGGTGTTGTGTAATTAAACCACTGAAACCAAACACTGATCTTCCACAGAGACAAGGAGACATCTCCAGTCTCCATACTGTCCCAACCTTCTTGTTGTCAACCATCCTCTACAGTCATGACGTCTGACCCAGAGAACGTTTTTCTGATCATCAGTAAAATCAATGATTTCCTCTGATGCTGACCTGATTGGCTCTTTATCTTCCAGCTGAACCAATAGGAAGGTGAGCTCTGTCTTTCAGATCGCTGAGAACAAAGTCAGAGCAGCTGGAGCGTCTTTGTCTCCACAGTTTTTAGGAATCAGCTTGATGGGGTCAGAATGTGAATCAATCAGTGAAATTCCCCCCTGAGGGGAGGAGAGGCAGCAGCTCTTCTACAGAAACAAGACAAATCATTTCTGATGCCGTTGTTGTTAGAGAAGTGAATTTATGAGCTTTCCTCCTTCTGCAGGTATTTTACTTGGAGGAGTTTCTGAAAATGTGCCACTGGCTGCTGGAGCTAATGTTGAGTTCTGTGAGCAACAGAGTTCAGACACACTAGAGAGTTAACTTAGTACATGATTTAATGTGAGCACCTGACTGGCTTTGAACAGGAAAAACAAAGAAAGAAGATGGATTGAAGACTGGGTGAAAATGTGGAAGCAGAAGCAGGATAAACGAGGGTCTTTATATATCTAACCCAGGTCTCTTTAGCCGACCTAATTGCTGTTTGTTAAAGCAGAGATTAAATGGAATGATCTGTGGGTCTTTTCCAAAGGAAAACTGATCTGCAGCGTGTTTAGAAGCACCTGCTCTCTTAGATGTTCTGTGACTAAAACTTAATACAGCATAATAAACACAGGCTGCTCTCCATACTGTTTCTCCACTGCAGGAGCTCAGGCCTTGATTAAGCTTCATGGAAACTTCTGGATGACACACAGAAACCTACTGTAGCCTGCATCAGTTCAGTGTGTCCAACAATCCATTAAAGCTCAAATGAAACACACACAGAAGGAGTGTGAGCAGTAAGAGTGATGAGAAGGTGCTCAGACTCCTACTACTGCTCCTGTTCCTGGTTTGGAGAGAGTCAGAACGGGTCTCTGTTGTCATTTTTCAGTCACTTCTCTTTGTGAGGAGTTCGCTCGTTTTCCAGGCTCTCTGTTAAATCCAGATCAGTGGGGCTCATGTGGTTAAAGCAAGGAAATGTGAAGGTGACTCTGGTCATTGGAGGAAGAAGCTGCTAGATATGTGTGACCAAATCCCAAAGTTGTAAAATACTCCGGGAAACCAGCCTGTCCTTTCCCACAATCCTTTGTGATTTAGGACAAACAGGAAAATTCTAAAACCTTTTAAACTTGGTCAAGTGGAGCTGAAAGATTCTTTAAATCTGACCGGTAACTTTCTTCATTATGGCTCACATGTTGTGGTCAGAGTCCAGCTGCTCAGAGCCTTTTAATCTAATAATAGTAGAAAGATTATTTAATGATTGTAGATGAATGTCTGAGTTATTATTAGAAAGATGCATCAGACAGTGAGATGAAATAAAACCTGTTTGTGGCTGAAAGGACACAGAAATGTCTTCGATCTTCTTATATTGATCTGCAGCAACAGTAGCTGCATTTCCATCAATCACAATATTTAACAAATTATTGAAAATAATTTGCTCAATAGAAACACAGCAATCTTGGAAAAAAACTTATTTTTTAATAAACCGTTTAAAAACGCTCCATTAAAAATTCTTTTTTAATGAAAACACAGTTGGTGTCTAAACTTCCTTTAATGATCAAACTTCCTGAATCCCTAATTATGTTGATTTAACCCAAGTGGAAACGACAGCATGCAACTTAAAACTGAGACATAATGTTGACTGCATGAGAACCAATTAGCTCTGATCTAAATGAGTCTCAGTAAACAAACCCTGATACCTCTGAGAAGATTTCAATATCACTGCTTGGACGTTTTATGCACACAAACCTGTAATTGTGGCTTTGAAATAATGTGGTTCGTTTGTATTTCAAGGGGTTGAGGCCTTGGTGCCACTGTTTTCTTTGGAGGGGACAGACTTTTGTCAAATATAGAAGCATTGTGAGATTTATGGCCATAAAACTTGTGGAGAAACCCAAAGTCAAACTCTGCATACAGGAGTTCAACATTTTTATGTGTTTTCTGGTTCTACTTCTGCTCAGAACTCGACTCCTTTTTCAGAAAACGTTGAGCTTAATGTGAACATGTGACCACAAAACATCTTTGAGAAAATCACATCATCATAAACTGGAATATTGTTAGCTGCTCTGATTGGCTGGTTTCAGTGCAGGTTGTCAATTTATGTAAAAATAGAAGAAAGATAATAAAATCATGGCAACAACACTTTCCATAAAACCTTGTAGGAAACACATGAAGGCTGCTGTGAGGATGTATCTGATCCATCTTGACCTGCTGGTGAGAAGAACATGTGGATGAAAAGAGAAGACTGACATGGAGACGAATGTTGCTTGGAAGATGGGAAATGGAAAAGGTGGGAAGAGAAGTTGATGAGAGGACAAAGAGGACAGACAGCATGTCAGAGTCCGAGGTGAGTCCGAGCTGGTTCCCTTTTCTCCCATCATTAGGAGTTTCGGCCTGAGACCTTTATGTTGGTGCAGCTCCAGTGCTACTGCTGCCTGACCAATCAGGGAGAGGACAGGAGAGGAATATTGCTGCTGGGAAATAATGACACATCACTATGAAAGACATGAAGAGGGAAAAGAGACTTTCCTGCAAACAGATTCATTCAGTTGAGAGCAGATTCTGCCTGGAGACAACTCTGTTGTTCATCGCCTCTTTTATTCTGGGCCCAGCAGAGTGCAGCTCTGTTGTTCTGATTACAGTTGTTGTTTTGTTGGTTTTAACAAAATGATCTTGGACCTATTAGGTCTTAACTTTGATCCTTAATAATGTTCAAACAGGTTTTACCTGTTTCAGGTATTGCCATGGACATGTCGGCTGAGCTGTAGTTCATTTTCTTCACAGCAGAACTCACATGTTTGACCCTTAGTTATCGTTTCCTTTAAGAGCCTCAGTTAATCCCACACTGTGCACTAACATGCAGCCACAGCAGGCTGCAGGTATGCAGCAATATCAGCCTCAGCAGGCGGCAAGAGCAGAGATTCATGACTGAGAAACATTGATGGTCCTCTGCTGACCCATGTTGGTTTTACAGAAGGAGAAATTTCTGTCTGACCATTCTATCTGAAACCTCGTGTTCATTTGATGTGCTTGGAGCCGACCAAGCTGCTGCACAGGAAGGGTGTTTTACAAGAAAACTAAATGTACTGGCAAATAGTAAACTGCATTCAACTGTATAATAGCCAATGTGCTCCAATGTAATTATTCAAACATTTACTGGAGCAGGTTGGATTTGTGAGGCATTTGTGTCATTTACATTCCAGAACCTGAAATTCCAAAGGTGAGATAAAAAAAGAAGTTTCTATAATTAGAGAAAACTAAAAGTAACATGAAACACATTAAGCTTGATCACATTAAAAGCCTTGGAACTCAGCATCTTGAGGCATTTCTTTCCTATCTTAAAGCAATAATCTAAGGCAAGAAGGTAAAACCTGATCCTCAGATAATGGCTGTCAGTAACCCATTAGGCCCAAACAGGAATGTGTCCAGAGCTCCAACAAAGAAAAGCAGCTCTTAGGGAATATTTCTCTGACCACTTTGCTGTTTAAGAAGTTGGAAAGTGAGAAGATATTTCTGTACAACTGTTGAACAGACCAAGACATCCAGACTGAGTTTTTCATACACCAACCCTTTAGCTGAATCCCAGAGCTCTAAGCGCTGATCAGCCTGTCTGCAGTCATTGTGAGAGTCCCTCAGCATTGACTAAAGAGGGTTTAGTTTCAGCCTTGAAGCAGGAACTTCAGATGAATGAGAACCCTCAGCAGAGTGGTCAGAGCATCAAGCAGTCAGACTTTAGCCTGACAGCATTTCTCCTCCTCAGAAAGCTCCAGTTTCTGGAAAGCACAGCTCCACTTCCTCATCATATAACTGGTTGTAAACCAGTCCCTGTGGACGACCACTCATTATGGCCAA